TCTGGTCATTTTTACGCTATGAAGTTTTTTGTTTTTTCGTCGAAAAAAAGTAATTACAAGCAATTGCTTTCATTTAATTAGATATATTTGATGAACTGTTAAATTTTTTTATTATAAAAATTTTTTGATTACGCTGATTAAATTTAAATTGCTGAACTTGCTAAATTGGATATGGATAAAAAAAAATCATTTCATTTTGCATTTGATTTTTGATAACAAAACTTTTGAAATGTCGGTAACTCCATACATAATTTTGTTTTTACTCTAACATATTTTACTTAACATATTTTTATAAGAACAAATACGTTCCTAGGGCCTTTTCTGATTTTCTTTTCTGATTTTCTGATTTTCCTTTTCTTTTAACACAATATCGCATAATTTTAGGGGCTTTTTATTTATTGCTAAGTCGTTCTAAATAATAAGTAAATATAGTTAAAGTTAATATTTTATTAATTACAGTTCCAATATAACAAAAAAAAGATGTTTAATGTTAAACTTTTTATTTAGTTATTTATTTTTTACCTACTTTTGTTATAAAAAGACTTTAGAACCCCCGTCATTTAAATAATTTGTTTTAAATATATTTCGACGTGATTATTTAAACTAATTTTTTTCATTTGACTTCCCCAAGCAAATTGAGACAAAATATCGTCTAACCAAATAAAAATGTTGTTACTAATTTTATACGGGTAATTAATGTAAAACATTTTTTTATCAGAGTCTTGATTGAGATAATAAATATTCATAATTTATAAACATTAAATATATGGCGCAATAACAATTTATAGCAACGAACCAGCATAAAATATTTAAAGTTTTTAATATCTTTTTAAATATTAAAAGTAGAAAAAAAAAACAACTAAACAAATAACCGAAAAAACTTCGATTAAACATAAATAAAAATATTTCCAGAGTTTCTTTTGTTAAAAGTCTACTGTGACGTCAAATACTAAAACCTTTATGAATTAAACGCGCTTCAAAGGAATTGCTAAAGTCTATAGATTGTGACGCATAATTTGAAGACTCCGAGTGGTTGAAAAAAATGGAGAAGACGAGCTTCGGCAAAAACAAAAACATTTGTTTTTCACGGTATGCATTTATTATTTATTTTTAATCAAAAAAATTTGGTTCAAACCTTTTTTTTTAACATTATCTTTAATATGAACACAACATGTGTTAGAAGTTTGGAATCTCTTTAAGGGAAATTGAAAAACTTTCGAACTTAGCAAAAGTCCTACTTATCCAGGGACTGAGATAACGGGATTCTGCTGTATATATATTCTTCCCCATCAATTTTACTTTTACTATATGTAATGAGTTCATAAAACATCAGTAAATATATTTATTATTGCACGTTTTGTAAGTTTGTTTCCGTTAAGAACTCTTTCGTATGTTGTAGTTTCGTTTTGAGAGAAATTTTGTTTTTTATCATTATTTCTAAAAATAAAACCATAAAAATTAAATATGTTATTATACTGAAAATAAAAATTCATTATAAATATTTTAGGATTTAAAGATGTTAATTTTTACAATCAAAATCAGTCTGACAAACAAATTTTCTTTATAAACTTCAAAACGCCGTTTAGTGAAAATGCTTGTTTCACAAGTGCGACTTCCAAAACCACTACTTTCGTATGTTGCAAAATAGTTTTATATCGTATGTCAACTTGTGAGAGGCTGAATTTCAGAAGTAGCATTTGCAAAATAAACATCAACAATTTTAAATGTTTTTTAATATTCGGTACAAAAAAAATGGAATTCCTCGTTCTCAATCTCCTTACGTAAGAATTTTTTTTTCTTAGAACTGTATGAAATCCTCCGGTTAACAACCCTAAGTTAAACCTGATTAATCTGCCAATTCATCATTTTCCTGAAAATAACACTGGACATAAAAAATTTTTGAATAAAAAATATTTTTAGGGGTCCCTTAGACCTTCAAACATCAGACTGGTCCCTATAATTATCAAAAAAATAGTTTTTTTAAAATTATCTTAATTTGGGTCTCAAAAGAAGCAAATTTATATAAAAATTTTAAAAATAATCATTATTTTATAAAAAACATTGGGGTAATTCCATGTCAAATAACCCAGAAATTTTTTAAAATATCACCTTATATTTCAGATTTTGCTGATTTTCACACAGTTGAGAGTACTTAGTAAAATAAGATTTCCTTGAAAATTTTACCCTCTGGCTTACAGAAGATCCTGAAATATGGCCATTATACTTTTATCAGATGTTTTGCAGGCCTCACTTGTCTCCTCAGACTTGCAATGTTTATTTAGAAGTTTTAAGTTACATAACTTAAAAACATTCTAGAGTGTGGAGAATTGTAGAAATATCTGGACAACTCTAACAGTTCATGAATATTATAGGAGGAAGCTTGGCATTGAAAGCAAATCAAGAACTTTCTTAAAACACACAATTTTCTAAATTTCATTGATTACCTTTCTGTTTTAGACTTAATGGGTTAAGAAAACACACTTTCAACCCAGGAATAGAATAAAAGTAACAATTTGTTACATATTATAATTTGTTCTGGAAAGTTTAATTAACATGAAACTTATTCTTTAAAGATTGTTTATGATATGAACACAACTTGTCTTGGCACATAAGGATCACTTTAAAACAAGTATATATTTTATCAATATTTTAAAAAAAAATCCACAATGACATCATATACAAATACTGTTATGAATGAAACCCACAAAAAATAAATTATGCAGTTTGCAAATTATAGCATATATCTCCGAGAATCAAGAGACTCCGAGAACCAAGTTAAAATGGAGAAGGCAACCTTCAAATAAAATGACAATTTTAGTTTTATTAATATGCATTTATTATTTAGTTTTAATTTAAAAAATTTAGCCCAAATGTTTTTTTTAAACATTTTCTTTAATATGAACACCACTCAAATGGAATAAAATCTTTCTTTAAAATAAAAACTTTTTTGTTTAAATTTGAATTGCATAACACAAAAAAAAAAAATTTAACCTTAATCCGCCATAATATCCACAATTCCCATATAAGAACACTGCAAAATAATAATAGTTAAATGAACTTAAATTTTGTAATTTCATAATTACGCATTGTTATCTTTTATTTAAATGCTTTAACATTCAACAAATTAACATTTAATGAATAAGGGTTAAAAGTATCAAACTCATTCATTCAAGTTTTATTTGCAAAAGCGTTTTTTTTTTTTAAACAAGAGAGAGAGCTAGTAATTACTTGCACTCTTGCTTGGAGATATTTCAGTATAATTTTTAAACTTTTCAAATTAGAAAAAAAAATTCTAAAAGAAGAGTAATGAATGAACTTTTTGTATATAAAAATAGGAAGAAACACGAAACAAAATAATATTTATAAAATAATCAATTATTTTAACAAAAAGCAATCAAATATATACTAAAATAGAGTTTAAAAAATTTGGTCAAATGCAACATACTTTTTAACAAATTTTCTAGAAAACCCTATGATGCTTTATCAAATTAATCTCAGAAAAACAACAGTTGCTGATGATTGTTTTTCTGATGTATTTATAATATGTTATAAAACATTACAATGTAACTTACAAAACTATTACTAAAGTGTAATCAATTACAATTATTTTATTTTTTCCATGAGCTTTTTTATCTAAATATTAAAAAAGCACATGAAAATGCTGATCACCCGCATAATCACTATCAGTGTGGGCAGCATGTATTGCCCGCAAAGTCTATTTTAGAGGGGCATTTTCACTAATTTATTCCTGCTGAGGTCAGTTTATATCTTAAAATTTTATTTAAATTTTTTTTCTAATTATGACACCCTAATTCATATCAGTCTTCATAATCAAATTGAATGATTTTATAACATCTTAATATCTTTTAATTCGTAACAAAACCTTTAATACAAAGTTTTACCCGCGCATTTTCAACATATTAACAAGGTCATGAAAACTTTTAGGTCAGCATTATCAAAATGTCTACCCTAATTCCTAATTACTCTAATAGCAAGAGTACCCTAGTTCTCTCACTACTCTTGTAGTGAGATTACAATAATAAAAGACTAATTAAAAAATAACAAATTATTTCAAATTAGCAACAATTAAGAATTAACAAAATAAAAACATCAATTTAGTTTCCAAACCTTTATTGTTAATAATTGGCACAACAAAGCAATGTTAATGCTTAACTGAAATGATAAAACATTTCTAACTTAGTTTATACTGGTTTTTACTCTTTAAAAAAAAACAGTATTGCAATACCAACTTTTTATCTAAATACAGATTTACTTATAATGAATGCATGTGAATTTGGTAGTGATGTGGAGTCACCTATTATGCTTTAAATATTGAAAGATGTGAAGTCACCTATTAGGCTTAGAGTTTTAAAATATGTGGAGTCGCCTATTGTGCTTAGAGTGTTAAAAGTTTACAATTAGCAAATATAAAAAATCCCTGTTTTATTTATTGAGTAAAGTGGTCACAAAAAAAAAGTTTTAAAAAAGTGTAATTTATATTATCTAAATACTAATTGCCCTTAAATAATAAAATCTAAAACAACTGTAAACCTCAACAATTTTTTACATATCAGAATAAATTAAATTGGTGCATTTTGAAAAATTTTTTAAATTTAAAAATTTTTAACTGACCTTTAACCAACAAGACTGTGTCTTAGAGTAATTTAACATAATTAACAACACTATTAACAGTACTATGATTAAGTTTGTGTATATTATCTGATATTATTATAAATTATATTTGATACATAATTAGTATCATACAGATGTATAACCTTAAATATGATAACTATCAAAAACTAATTAACAAATATACTACAATGAAAAATATAATGAACAAATAGGGCATGGGAACTAATATCAAAAATATACTGACCTTAATCTTAATATAATAAGAAAAAAGTTAGAAAAAAAAAATCCTTACAATTCTTATAACAATTATAAATTTAAACTTACTGTTTTTAATTATATAGTTAAAATAAATAATAACACAAAGTTACCTGAACTGGAGTTCGACCGTTTGCGTCAATTGCTGATGCATCTGCTCCTGCATTTAAAAGCATTGCCACAATATCATTATCGCCATTAGAACATGAAATATGTAAAGCAGTTAATCCTGAAATACTTCTAGCATTGACATTTTCTTTTATAACAGAATCTTGTAAAAGTTCTTTTACTGTATTAGGATTTTTTTCTTCGCAAGCTAAATGAAGTCTTGTATCTAATCCATATTTTAACGCATATAAAGGAGCAATTTTACCTACACAAAAATCTACCAATTTGCATGGAAGACCATCTGAAATTACTTTATAATAAGAAATAAGCATATCGAGACCTTGGAAAATTGGTCCATTGTCAATTGAAAACTTATTATCACCTAAACAGTTTATTTGAAAATGCAATATTTGAGATCTAAACATCATTGAGAGAACATAATCTTCAGGAGCGTTTCCACAATCTCTGATCAGAAAAAATCCATCTCTACCACCCTTTCTAAGGAGAACTTGCACAGCAACCTCACGTGTAATTTTGCCATGATACCATAATAATGCATCACTATTCTTTGACATGCTACCAATTTGACTTAAGCTTATATTAAAGTTCTTCCATTAAATATGTTATGATCCAACATCTTTATTTCAGGATGACTTTAAATATTAATAAGGAATCAAGTAAAAAAAAAACTGAAGTTATGATTAAATACTTATATTTAATCAAAACTTTCAACATCAACTGAAAGGTTAAGGAGTTAAGGTTACAGAGTCTCAAGGGTTTAGGGAGATAGGGGGATAGATAGAGTTTATGGAGATAGTAATTCAATTTTAATCCACTTATAAACATTACAAAAAAATTTAAAAACAAAAATAATTATCAACTTGTAAGAATATTTGTTTTTTTTTAATCTAATTTTCCATTTTTCAGACATAAGTTAAACTTAAAGACCTACTTATTAATGATATATTTTGTGGAAATTTTAATAATGTACAAATTTCAAATAATTAAAGATCTTAAAAAATCTCTGAACGCAGTACAATTTATATCTACATGATGTTTATTTTGACCAATAAAACAATATGAAATACCAGATCAATAATAAAAATTACAATACACCATATAAATGTTAAATTTTTATTGAAACTATATTGGTTTAAAAAGCACAAACTAAATTCAAATTTACTTTTTCAAAAATAGCAATATAGTTTAAAAAAAAGCAATACAGAGACAAATGTTTGATTCAAAAACAAAATATTTTAAAATGAAAAAAACAAAAAATAAAACAATATAAAACTTTTCTAAATAATTTAAAATATTATCAAGTTAGTGGTGTGCTTTTAGTTTTGCACTAAGTTAACTGTAAGTTTCGTTTACTACTAATTAGTAACCATAAACATTGCACCTTGCACCAAGACCCCTCCAACTACATTCTATATTTGATGTATGCAACAAATACAATAAATGTAAATGTAGAATGTAGACTCCATGTAGATTATGATGCAAATGTGAAAGCCAAAAGTAACATATAATAAACATTTCAACCTCCTGGTCATAAAAATTATATAAAAACACTGTTTTTTAAAATAACTCTTACAATTTTTAATTATATAAATTATTTATAAAAACAATTATATATTAAAAACCTGTTCTTAGAAACCAAGTTGCTATTAGTTACTTTAAGTATAAAACAAAAAAAACAAAAAAATATTTACAAAAAGATCATTTAAGTATATATTCTGCATAATAAAATAATTATTTGTGCTTTCAGTGTTCTGTGCGTACTTTTTACTCAAGACTTTCGAAATACTTTCTATGTATACAATAGGCAAATAAACTTATAAAAAAATAATATTAATGTATAAATTTCATTTTCAAGATCCCATCAAGCAACACTTCTGGTTTCCACAAGTATTGCTTGGTTAAAAGAGTTAAGTTTGAAACACAAAAATTGTTTTGAAAAAATTAGTGGTTGATCAATGTTGATGAACCTACAACTTATCGCACAAGCATTTTAAAAAAGCAATTTTATTTTTTCTAACAAAAAGTTATGAAGCCTGATTATATAACTTATTTTTCATTGCAAAAAAAGTTATGAAGCGTGATTACATGATCATAAATTTTACACCACCATAAAATTTATACTTCTTTAGTAATTATTAAACTCTTCATTATTATTTTTAAGTTTTTAATAATAATTAAGTCCTAAATTGCAAGGTAACAACAATTTTTTTTGTAACAATTTTTTTTTGTAAAAAATTATTTTTTGTAACAAACTGCCTCAAAAGAAACTAAGTGGATTAATTGGTGGCAACTAACTCATTCTATGTTCAATAATAACTTTAATAAACTTTTTAATTTTTCTAAACATAATTAGTTGCATTTAAATAATTGAACTTTTGCTTTCAAAAAAAGAAAATCAAAAAATTATTTTATGTTATTACATTTAAATAATTAATATTACTTTAATAACCAAAATATTTTTTTTTAATCTTAAATATAAATTCATTTTATGTTATTAATGTTAAAATGTGTAATACTATTAAAATAACATTTTGTTGGTATTAAAATAATTTTTATAAATATTATCTAAACAAACATATTATTTGTTATCCAACTTTTCTTGCAGTTTCTTGAATTCATCATTACTTATTTGATCAAGCTCATCTTCAACTTCTTCAACGCCAGTGACTTCTGGGATATAAAACTGCATCATATTTTGAACCCCATTTTTAAGGGTCACAGATGAGCTGGGACAGCTAGAGCAGGAACCTTGTAGTTTTAATTTTACAATACCTGATACACTGTCAAAACCTTTAAAGATAATGTCTCCACCATCTTCTTGAACAGTTGGTCGTATTCTAGTATCTAAGAGTTCTTTTATCAATAATACAGTCTCATTATCATCTTCTGCTGCAATAGTATCTTGAGCAGGTACGTCATCAGTTAAAACAGGCAAATTACTAGCAAAGAAATCCATTATTACGGCATATATGTCAGGTTTCAACAGCACCCATGAAACATCATCATCATCTGATTTTGATATGGTAATAAAATCTTTACCAAAAAAAATAGATCTCACTCCTTTTATGCGAAAAAGTTGACGAGCTAGTGGGGACCGATAACCATGAGAAGGAGTGGGAAAATCAACAGTGCCACTTTCAAGAACTTTACATCCTGGAATAAACTTGAGACTGTTAGGATTTGGTGTGTCTTGAACACGGATAAACATTTTTCGAGCAAATAAAATCATTGGGTTGTAAATATTTATTTTGTTTTGCAAAAACAAAACCACATTTTTGTTATTAAAATGAATCATTCTGTTGCCATTGTTCAAAAAACTCTTTTTTAAAATCATGCCCAAAAAAAATGTAACAGGTCTTTTAAAAATCATTCTAAATCCCATAGTGCATTTGAATTTGAAATTTTATGACTATTTTTATTACTATTATAAAACCAAAATAAAGAAACACATTTGAAACTTCATTTTATAAAATAATGCATTAGGCTTTAAAATGATAACTGAAACCAAACTAGTGCAATGTACACTGCAGTTAGCAAAGCAAACAGAAAACAATGTATTAAAATATAGAGTGTAATATAAATATAGATAATATATAAAGTTAGTCAATATATAGTATATAAAAAATATAGTATTATGAGTAAATATATAGTATATTAAAATAACATAAAAAAAACTAATATTGATTACAAAATTAGAAAAAAATATTAAAACAAAGCAAGACAATTCGATATAGAAAGACTATTTAAAAATTATTTCACAGGCTTTATTTATATAAAAATTATGTTGAACCAGTCAAAACGAAATGATTAAAATCATATCTTTATAAATTAAATTGTAGGGGACGGTGGGAAGATATGGGAAGTGGGAGAAGTGGGATAGCCTGAAATTTTAATTAGGAGTGGTACCTAAATACTGTTATTTAATGTAAACAATTAAGTTTCTTTCTATTTAGCAGAAATTGCTTTGTTTCCCTGTGTGCACTTGAAGCCCTAATTTTGAAAAAGTGTTTACATTTGGGTGAAGTAGGACAGAAAAAGGAAATATTTATGCCCCACTTCTTCCCATTGCCATTTGGTTATTTCAATTGGTGAAAACTCTTGAACATTTTTATGTGGATTAGGTGAATTTATAATTTTATCAGTTTCTATTTAATAATTTGTGTTAAAAAGTTGTTTTAAATTTATATACATTTCTACTCACACTTGTCCCACGCTACCCCAATGGTACGGTTTATCTAAAAGCAAAAATTTTTATACTTAGATATAATTGGCTGGAAACCTAAGGGGATTGAATCAGTGCTTAAAAAGAAGATTTATTCGTAAAAACTTGTTTGGTTCAGTTTATACATCAAATATTGTGATTACCCTAAAAAAAATTTACTTGACCCTAAAAAAAACCCACTTCTCCCCACTCTCCCCTACAACAGAAAAAAATAATTAGAAAAAATTAATAAAAGCAATCTAAATTTTAAAAGAATTTATACAATAAATTTAATAACAAAGCATAAAGAGTCACTTATCAAAAATTATATTATTTTAAATAACTTTATTATTTTTAATAATAAAATAATTTTATTATTCAACTTACAAAAAAGTTTATAATAAAAGAATGTAAATCAAAAAATATCAATTGACATTGATGTGCCAGCTTGTTAAGTACATTTTATAAAATATCATAACATAAAAAAGTATTACCACGTCAAAAAAAGACTTTAATGAGACATGACCATAAACCTTTTTAGTAACACGAATGCAAAGTATTTTCCCAAATTCAAAGGCTACATATACTTTGTATTAAACACCTGCTAATTTTGTGAACTGGATAGCTCTATTGTGCAGATTGCACAAATGCCAAATTTTATTGATGCTTTTTTTTATTTAATATATATATATATATATATATATATATATTATATATATATATATATATATATATATATATATATATATATATATATATATATATATATATATATATATATATTCTGCATAATATATAATATTTATACTTACTAAGTTTGAATATTTATATTTATCTATTTTTTTTTTTTATATTAATGTTTTAATATTTTTTATATTTAAGTTTTACTATTTATATTTATCTATTTTTATTATATACATATCTATTAAGTTTAAATAATATTTATAATTGTTTTATACACTTCACTGCACAATTTCCTATTAAGGTCCCATTTTAATTATTTAATATATATAATATTGACATATTGAATGTACATTATATACAAATATATATATATATATATATATATATATATATATATATATACATATATATATATATATATATATATAAATATATATATATATATATATATATATTTAATAATTAAAAACAAAAACAAAAAATCAACATTTCACAATCTGCGCAATAGCTCGATCCAGTTCACAAAATGAACAAAATATTGCACATTTTGTGTAATGCGCAATTTCTTGATCTTGGAATAACACACACACACACACACATATATAAATATATATATATATATCAATCCTCGGAATTAGGAAAAATCAGGTCGGCAAATTATTGCCAACCTCAATCTTTTTGAGGTCAACATCAGGTCGGCAAAAACTATTTGATAAAGGTCTGACCATAAAACATAAAAACGAGTTCAGCAATTTTTTGCCGATCTCAAACACTTTCAGGTCGGCAGTTAGGTAATGCTGACCCTAATCCCGAGGGTTGATATATATATATATATATATATATATATATATATATATATATATATATATATATATATATATATATATATATATACATTACCTATAAAAAGTTTGAGACAGGTACTAAAATTTTAGAAATAAATTATTAAGGAAACCTTTTCAAGTCTAATTTGTATTAACAAGAAATAAATATTTTTTTACATTTTTTATCTATGTTTAATTTTAACTTGCATTTCAATTTAATTTTTAATTGGTTAAAATAACTTTATTTTTTATTTACACAGATCTTCAACATACAATCAATTAATTTACAAAGTGTTTCAAATTGCATTGTGTTTAATTTAACATGCAATATATGCTAAATGTTTTTTATAAAAGATAGCTGCTTTTCTCATATATTTTCACCCAAGATTTTCCCATAACTCAATGGGATTAAAAGCTGGCGATCGTGGTGGCCATTCTATTATTTTCAGTATTTGCTGACTTGAGTAGACTAAGAGTACTGTAAACATAGTTGGACCTGCTTTATCTGCCAAGCTTTAGTATCTCTCCCATTATCATAAGGTTGCATCTCTTTCTCCTTTCTACAAATAGTATCATGGTCACAGCTCAAAGAAACTATTATCCTAGTTTTATCAATCAAAACTTGTTCTAGCTTGATTCATCATTTACCAAAGTTGTATCTTTTTAATGTATCTGTCCTTTCATCCTCTAAAAATTTTTATTTATTTTTTCCCACACATATTAATACTTTGGAATTCTCTACCATCTTCATATATTCAAATAACCTTCAACTTTTTAAGTTGAAGGTTATTTGAATCAGTTTAAAAACAAGATTTATTATATAAATCAACTAATATAATCTAACTAGTACCTTTTATCTATTGAAATATGCTGAATTAGTCTAAACTATTACAAATATACTATAATCATAAATTAAAACAATAAGACACTGATTAAAGTCAAAACAATAATCAATTTCAATCTATTAATATTTTTAAGCTATTAGAGATTTACTTTAATCATAAACAAAAATAAAGACACTGATTGAAATCAAAAAAATTACCAATTTTTAATATATATTTAAAAAAACAAATACCTAACCTGCCTCAAATTTCTGTTGATAGTGTATATAATGTGCATTAAAATGTGGTTTTACAGCACACTATGGAAAGGGTAAGCATGCAAGGGCCAAAACAAAAAAACAGAAAATGTAAAAAAATGGAAAGAAACAGAAACCAAGCAAATACTACTCTTGAAACGAATTCTTGTGCACCATGTTTCTTGATACTCCAGCCATACAAAAAATCATATTCAGATGCTTCACTTGAAACCTCTTAATATGATTTTTTTGAATTTCACTATGTGAGAAAAATAACCACAATTTCTTTTCTCAGAAGTTTTTAATTAAAAAGATATATAGATTATTTATAAAGTACAGCAGGAAGAAAAACCTTTTTATCAAGGTATAGGAGTTCTACCAGAAAGGTTTAGCTAGCATTTGATAGAAATATCAATCAAACAGTAAGCACACAAGAAGAAAAATATAAAAAATAGTAATTCACACAAAAAATACAACTTCCGTGTAATATTTTTAAAACTATTCGACGGCCTAAAATGCTAATAATTAATGCTTAGAAGAGAATGTACTTTATGGATCTTCCCATTATAGTATAAATAATTAGGAGAACTAAACTTTTTAACTAAATGTATCTAATTACATCTTAAGAAGCATTATTCAAACAATTTAATAGTATTAAAAATTAATGTGATTTTTATAATTAATATTATTTTGGTATTATAACATATAATATAAAATAATATCGTATTTTTCCTATAAAATAATTAAATTTATTTTCGATTTAAATCCAAAACTTAACTTAAAAAAAAATTAACTTAAAAAAACTTATTTATCGTATAAAATAAATAAAAAGCTTTAACTTTTATTAGCTATAATTCTGCTCTACACGTTTACCTGCAGTAAACAAAACGTGTAGAGTGAAGGGAAATTTTTTTTTTTTTTTTTTTTTTTGTTAAGAGTTTAGAGAATCTAAAAATATATTGTAACATACTTGCACGAAGATCCAGAAAGTGCGTAGAAACATGCGATTAACGCATAGTTAATTTACATTTTTAAACTACTTTTCTAGTTTAAGATAACGCTTTAACTAGACGCAAATAAGAAAATTTTTATTAAATTTCAATAAAAAAAGTGGAAACGTTTTTAGATCATTTTATTTTATATATTATAAACCATTCACGCAGATAAATTTAAGTCAATTTCCGTAAAGTTCGTTTTATTTCCGCTGACGTGAAACGCATTGCCGCAAATCTGTTAAGAAAAATGACAACCGATTAGCTCTTTCGGCACCACAATGGTGCCGAAGGAACAATAATTGCAATGATGTAATAAAAATAAAATTTAAAAATAAATTTGATCTTAATTTTCGTTAAGTTTAAGAATAAACTTAAAAACGTTTTATCATTGAATAAATAAGACTTTTTTATTCTCGCAAATTTAATGTTAATATTTTGTTGTATATAAAATTTGTTTACTTTTTATAGAAATTTTTCAACTTTAGGTTGCTTCTTAAGCGTGAACCACCGAGTTCGGTAAATTTTAAAATATCGGTGAGGATAATGGCGTGAACTTCTTTTTAAATGCTATTTCGCTTATTGGGCTTGAGCCGACTTCGAACCTCGGACTTTTAGGTCTGTGCCAGAACTCTAACCATTGCGCCACGAATGTAGTG